GGAGGAATTTCTGGATAGACAAAAATTAAATAGCAAATTTACATTTTTTTATTGAAGCTACAATGTATGCAATACAACAGTGACCTTCAAGGTAAAAACACCATCACAAAGGTTGCAGAGCATAGAGAACGTGCACAGGCTATTAGCCAGCCGACAACCTTAGACCATTCTATGACCTTTGACTCAGTTCTATTACACGGAGCCAGCCTATATGCAGAATAGACGCAAGGACCATGTTGGGGTCACTAGAAATATCATATGGAGGAATTTCTGGATAGACAAAGGACTCTTTGTCAGCTTTCTTTAAGCAAGGAAAACATATAAAAGACTGACAGGTAATGCACTAATAACTCCTCTGCACTTTGTTTAGACAAAAACATGTTGTTTTTTCGATACTCAAAGCAGATGACAGGTGGACAGCTGTGTCAGACAGGTCAGACATGCTTGTCCACCATCTGAATGCTTGAAGAGGAACAGCAAATCTCTGCAGTGTCTTTCAAACCTACTTAGTGTGTGTGTCCACAGTATTTACAATGCAGACTACTGATCAGAGGTCTGAACAAAGTCCAACCCATTACCAAGAAATAAAGAAAATGACATAAGTACAGTACAAAAATGCACCTCGGCCACCCCTATGAACTGTCAATCAGCAGATTGCATAAGTGTCATACACAGCAGAAAAAAAGCTGAGAAACTCTTCATGGTGTACAAAGGTCATCTAGGGGTGTGAATGGAGTATTAACCCTGAATGACAGGAGCACAGTAACCTATTTAACTATAACGTAATTCAGACAGCGAGCCATTGGTTTTATCTCTATAGCAACAACAATGAAAGACAATGTTATCTTATGAGAGCACAACTGACACAGTATATGGATAGGATTCCCGGTTTCTAAAGATCATACATGCCCTTTAACACACTCCACTAATTTTTGCTAAACACAATCACAATCTAGTCAGATGTTAAACGTCATCAGTCCCACACATTGCTCAAGGCATTTCAGATCAAAGAACAAAACTTCATAGAGGAATACAATTTGTATGACTTGTAAAAATGGATATCACAGCACAAACCCAAACATGCCATCATTCAGGAAACTACTGCTCAATGTTCACATTACACAACTTCCATAACCGCACATGATCACAAGAGCTTTTATGAACTAGATTTAGGGGTTTTAAAAAGGTGTCATGGGACCCACGAGGGAGTACTGGGGGTTCATTGAAAGGTTCCATGGAGAAAAAAAAAACATGTAAATATAAAGATTTATAAAAATGTAAACTAAATAAATATTTGTTTTAATAAATGAAAAAAATACCTAAAACACCTACATATATAATATCTCAGAACACAGCGCTATCGTGAGAGAAGTTATAATGTAATAGTAAGAACACTTTGGTGATAATGTAAAGTAATATAAACTATTTTACATAAATATATCATATTTGCTCACAGTATATAGTGGGTCTTTATACATTAAATTTTAAGATGGGAGATGCTTTAAATTTGATGATGACCACATTTAAACCCTACTGAAAACGCATGAGGTATACCCTGCATAAACCCTATATAGCTCTATTATGGTGTACTATAGTGATCTAGCACCTTTGCACACCATTGAAGTCTGGCCATTAATAAATTAATGACAATTCTGAAGGTCAAATCAGTCACCAAGAACAACAAAAATACTGCTCTGTCAGACTAAACAGGTGCAGATCCCAAGTGTATTTACATTGTAACAAATGAAAACTGGTTGAAGTGTTCAGTGCCCTGTGAAAGGACGTCGACTACACTTCAGAAAGGACTTCAGATGAGACTCGTATGAATATAACCATATATAACGCTGTTGTTTGTCAGGTATCTTTGAACAGCTCAATGACAGCATTTTAAAGCTAAAACATAACTTTACATTGGCTGTGTCTGAAAAAAAAACATAACTTCCCTACGTTGACAACATGTTTGGGGTGCGTTTTGAAAGTTCAATCCCAAGTTTGACAATATTTTTGACCGCCTATGTTGTTTAAAATTGCTATCCAGGTTGTCAGTTAACTAGGTTTTGAAAAAAACTTAGGATTTAAAGAGGGAGGCATTTAAACATAATGTTTTTCATGCATGAAATACTTAAAACAGATGTTCGATATGGTTTATTAATATGAAATATGGCTGGCTGGCTGGCTGTTACTAAGGTAATCTATGCTAAATTAAGCTAACCGGTAGCAGCCTGTGTTTTCTTCACTCGAGTAAAAATAAAACTTTCCTACCTTTGGACTGAGGAGCCTTGGGGCTAGTCTGCTGATAGAGAGGAAGGACATTGTTCTTGTATGTGTGAATAAATATTACAAGTGCTTCTTTATCGACCCTTGCTTGAAGGTGCCCCTCTCGATACCGAGCTCGCAGTGAAGGTTGAAAAAGGGACTGAGGCCCTGTTGTAGGCGCGGTTTGGTTCAGATAGGGTCTGGTGAGGATAGAACGGCGTTCGCGTGTTCTGATTGGTTGATGGTGATAAAACTGATGTTGATTGGTGGAGCGTCTCATCGCGTTTTGATTTGATTGGTTCAAGAATGGAACGTGCATAAATTATTCAGACGTTTCGGCTGTTCTTTAAACTGCCTGACTAGAAATAGAATGCTAGAAATGCTCGAGTAAAGTCACATGCGATTTTTTTTAGGCACCTTGACATTTTCACAAATAAGGAATGCATCTCCAAATTATAATTGTAGCATAATTTAAAGCTTTTTAATAAAGGTTTGAATTATGCTGCTTCTTGTCAATATCAACTAGCCTGATGTGAATTGTTGCTTTGGCTGTTTAAGTATGCGCATTGTCCTGAAATTACTTGAGACTGCATATACACAAAGATTTCAGACTTTATTGGAAAAGGGTCATTAAATACAAATATATAGATACAGAGGCTCAAGGACGTTCATTTCAGACTTCATGCTGCCTGTAACATTGGCATGGCTCTGGCAGGAAGGATTCTCTTGGACCTACGGCACAACAAGACATTCTGGGATATGTAACTTGCTTAGTTGCGTCACAATGTCAACACACAAAACTTACAAGGTTTCTACATACACATTTCAGCAATACATGAAGGTCACAAAAAATAAATAATCATTTGGTTGGTGAATGAGAAAGTTGAAGGCAGGTGGGACGGCTGATATCTTGTGTTCTATGACTAGAAACTTTAAACTAGCCAACTTTAATAGTCATTTTGTCCAATTTGTTTTCTCATGAGCTTTATGATGTTTAAAATATGTCATTATGTCATGAGTTGGTGAACTTCTCGATAAAACCTGCATATATTGAGGTACACTACTGTTCAAAATTGTGGGGACGGTAAAAATTTTATGCTCACCAAGGCTGCATTTATTTAGTCAAATATGCAGTAAACACAGTAATATTGTAAAATATTATTGCAATTTAAAAGAACTGTTTTCTATTTTAATATATTTTCAAATATAATTTATTCCTGTGATGGCTAAGTTAATTTTCAACTGCTTCAGTGTCACATGATGCTTCGGAAAACATTCTAGTATCAATAAATAATATTTCTTTTTATTATCAATGTTGTGCTGCTTAATATTTTTGTGGAATTACTTTTTTTATTCTTTGATTAACAGAAAGTTAATAAAAACAGCATTTATTTTAAAATAAGAAAGCCTTTACTGTCCCTTTTGTTCACTTTAATATGTCCTTGCTAAATAAAAGTATTAATTTCTTTTTAAAAATATCTTACCGACCCCAAGTTTTTGAACAATAGTTTATCTATAAAAGCATATATGCAAATGCATGCTTTTTTGGACATTGTCTATAAAAGTACTCTGATTTTACCAACTGATAAACCAAAATTGACCATGGTTATAGACTTTTTTGTCAAAAATATAAATTAACAAAACCCTGCATAAAGAATCTTACAGATAAATGTAAAAAACTGCCACATTCAAAATTGTAACATAAGTCAGTACTGAAAGGTTTGGTCACAGAGTATTTGGCACGTTTGATCTGTAAACATGAAATATGCATATGCATGACAATAGCAACGGAAACAAATTGTGTTCGCCTGTCAGTTAAAATAGTTACTCTCTGTGTGAAACTGCGCACAGCAGGGCTCGATGTTTATAAAGAGATATGATGTATGCTGGAGACCTTATGAGGCTTCTGTAAACAGCAGCATGCAGTGCGAGTCATTGATTTTGTACTCTTACTGTATACTTTGGAGATGTTCAAAACTTGCTGTATGTGCACACTGCGTGTTTTGGGTTAACACACTGTATGCAAATTCTACTTTTTTTCACAAATTACTATTGTGTTTGGCACAGAGATTATGAAAGAATCAGAATATACAGCACCATGCAGCCGGTTTGTCATGCATATAAAGAACCAGGTTCAAATTACATTTAGCAGTTTACATTCAATCAAATCTTCCACAGTATAGGCTAGTGATAGATCAGATCTCTGGTCTTGTTGAGATGATCAGCCAATAACAATGTCCATAAGGCTGATTAACAGACGTGCTAGTTCGGTTTGCTGTCATTGAATAAGAAATAGTCTCCGTTTCCATTTTTTGTGAATTTTAAATAAATATTGTGTAAAATAGGCATTCATTTAATGTCAGCAATCTCATTTGTGTTCCATATCTCTGCAGCATTACATTATCCACTCTTATTTATAGATATCAGCATCAGTTTCAGTGTTATTTAGTATTATTTATATACTACTTTGGCATTTATTCATATTTTAAATTAGCGTTTAATTTTTATATGTTGTTTTCGTTTTCATTTTAGTTTAGTAGTTTTAGTAATTTTATGTGCTTTTGACATTTTTAAATATTTCTTTTTAGCTTTAATTTATTTTTATTACATTTTTAGTCATTTTAAAACTTCAACTTTTATTATTATTTCTGTTAGTAGCCAAGGCAACGTTTCTAATTTTCATTCAAGTTTTTTTATGCAGCCTAATATTTATATTTAATTTTAATTCAATTAACACATTTTTTAAATAGTTTTAGTAAACAATAACAACACTGAATCTGTAAACTACTGGTATTTTTCCCATCTTTGAACACAGGGTGGCGCAGCAATATCAAGGCTGATCAACATGCATCTTTTACCCATTTTACACATAAACTGACTTAAGATGTTGATTGCATGGGGTCCTTTAGACATTATACTGTGTGTGATTTCCTTGAAAACTGTATGAACCAGAGCAGTTGTATTTCATCCTCCTGGACGCTCAGGAAACATTGACGGTTGCAGTCTGAAAAAAAATAAGAAATCCCCAAATTGAGTCAAAATAGCTGGTGAATTTGGTCCTCTTGATCTCCATTTTGCTAATTTTTTCCTTTGGTGAAATAACGCATCCTGACGTTAGACACCAGTACTGGGCACCTCTGAGGACCGAGAGCAGACACAGTGGAAGAGATCACTCTTCCTCTTCGTCGTCCTCCTCTTCCTCCTCTATGTTGAGGAAGGGGTCGTATTTGAGGCAGTTTTGGAAGTAGTGAAGGAGTGTACGGTGCAGGTGTTGGTTGCTCCGCTCTTCTCTTAAGGAGTGCCCTTCGTCTGGGTACAGCTGAAGGGTGTAGTTGGCCTCTACCTTCACCAGACGACTTAACAACTCAGCGCTGTGTTGGAAATGTACCCGTGCTAAACACACCAAAGTAAAACATGACTGGAAATCCACAAATGATGTATGTGAAGGATTTATTATAATGAAACTAACCATCTGCAGTCCCGTGTATGAGGAGGAAGTTTTCATCTTTTAGCTTGTGAATGTCATCCAACAAAGATGCAGCCTGCAAAGAAACAACATATTGGCATCTCAGTCATAATATAGAAGATTGTTTCAAAATGTAAAACACAAAGGTAGTTGCAAATTTGTTTCTCATAAATGCTATTTCATTTCTCCCAAATGTGAACTTTCATCCAACAATGGCTTTGTTTCTCATAACTGTAACCTTAAATGTCAAAATATGACTTAAAATCTCATAATTGTGTCTGTTTTTTTGTAAGTGTAACTTTGTCACAACGTATTTTTAAATTTCACAACTGTGACTTTGTTTCTCATAACTTTGTGACAATATGACTTTCTCACAACTATAACTTTAAATATCACAATGTGGCTTTATATCTCACAAGTGTGAATTTATCTCTTGTAACGAATTTGGTCACAATGTGACTTTAAATCTCAGTTTAAATGAGATTTAAAAATCTCTGTTTCTCATAACTGTTATACATCACAATGTAACTTTATATCTGTTTCTTGTAACTGGAACTTTGTCACAAGGTAACGACACAATGACTTTAAATTCCAAAATTGTACATTTGTTTCTTGTAACTTTAACAGTTACACTTTGTCACAATGTAACCTTATATTTCACAACTGACTTTTCTTTCTTGTAACTGTAACAATGTAACATGTTACAATGTGACTCACAACTGTGACTTTGTTTCTTGTAACTCTGTTGCAATGTATAATGTTACAATTTGACTTTACATGTCACAATTGTGACTTTGTTTCTCATAACTAACTTTATTACAATATGACTTTAAATCTCAAAGTTGGAACTTTATATTTAATATTCTATCTGTGATACAAATGTGCCTTTATGTCTTGAATCTGTAACTGTCACAATGTGATTTATTTTAAATTATAGCTAATTTTTACCCTGAGGAGTAAAAAAAACTATTCTGTAACTTAATGCTTGATAATGAATGAAAAGGTTGATGCAAAAGGTCTACCATGTACGAATGCTCCTCTTTAGCTGGAAGGCCTAGATATCTCTCTGAGAAAGCAGCACCTGAAAAACAAAGTTAAATCCATTTTTTTCACATAAATGTGAAAAGAAGCTGTAGTGCACTGCAGATTACACCATTTATCACATGGATACGCTAACAAAAAAAGTAGTACCAGGATACTTTGATATATACCACGGGACTGAATGATTACCATATCACATACCATGGTATTCTGAAGCACTCCAAGGCACTTCATAGAATGTACTTCAAAGAATGTCCAAAAATATTGTTCTGCCATTGTGTATGGAGCTGGAACTCACTATAGAGCTTGAAGTCTGTGATGGGAGCCATGACAGCGGCACATTTGAACATCTGGTCGGTTGCCGTCAACATCTTCAAACCTAAATAGCCACCGAATCCCTGTGAGGACAAAAGAAGGCTGATGTCAGAGCTCTGCAATTGAAGACTAAATTCAAAGTACATATCCCAAGTGAGAATATGATGCAAGTCTACAAAGGGATTCGTTTGCTAAGAAGATGTGTATAAAAGTGATAGACCACAAGAGCCAGAGCATTAAATCAATCTGACTACTTTTAGGTTGTTATTTGAAATGATGCAATGCATAAACCCTCCTTAATCACTGTAAAAATCTATTTAATGCAAAACTTTAGGTGGTTTTTAGACACCATTGTTCAATAAACAAAGTTCTGAGGTTGTTATTTAATGGTATATGCTTTTGTTACATCATTCAGTTCACATTATTTCAATTTATATTTTAAAGAATTGTGTTAACAGTGGAATTACTGATGAAAAACTACATTACCCACGTTGCTGTGAACAAAGTTCCACCAAAATCACATATTAAAGCTCATTAATGCCATTAAATGCACAGTTTTGTACCTTTGTCTTTTTGTCCAATTTCAAATATTCTTCTGCTTCAAATAAAAGTTTGTAATGTTGTAATTCACCTCATAGCTGATTGGTTTGGTTCATGGCTTATAATGCATTAATGAAGACTTTAAAACAAATCCCTATGGAAAAAATGAATGAGAAAAAAATACTTCCACAACCAACACCATGGGAAAAAGTGGGTGGATACAGCTGCACTTATTAGCCTAACTGTAGGCCGTTTACAGTTTCCAACTTGCATAAATCAGCTATTTATTCAAATGTGACTCATCCAATCAGACGTTGAACTCTCCATTTTCAGAACATATATTTTACCTTTCCATAAACAGCAATTCTTCTCCCATCAATGTACGGCAACTGCATTAACCATCTGAAACGAAACATGAGAATTTCAGGTGGCATTTAGGATTTATGATAAATGACTGGTTTTTATAAGCAGCCAACGTATTAAATCCGCAGAGATATAAACATGGCTTTTTTTTTGCCTTGAGCAAGAAGTAGGTTAAATTAAATTAGTCAAGCAAGTGTTCAACAAAATAATTAAAGAAATCCCAGCGTCTGCTTCAGAGCATAAAGCATTTCCTAATCAGATATTTTGCGTGCAAAATGACTTTTCTATTATAGGTATTATTCGTAATAACTGGAATAAGAGAATGACTCACTCCACTACTCCAAGCTTGTCTTTAATGCGTAGGGAATCCAGCTTGCGAGGGTCCAGGGTGCTGCTTTTCTGTCCCTGTGAGACTTGGCTTCTGCTGTCGATCCAGGCCAGTGCCACTCCATGCAGGCTGGATAAAACCTCCGGCCAGCCCAGGGCAAACTCCTCTGTTACCGACTGCCTCCCTGGAATACTGTCACTACGGGTGCAGAGAATGGATGGATGGAGGTGTTGACACATATTGTCACATTGTAGATTAAAAAGACATCAGCAGACTGATCTTGATTCTGTAAATGTGTTGGCACTTGCTGAACACTTCTTGCATCTCAATCGAGCTTGTGCATATTGCTTATTAATAACACAGCATTCATAAATCATGTAGCCTAACCAACTACGGCGAGGGAGAAGAGAGTCTTAACTTGATTTGCATTTCCAGAAAGAGATACTGCTGCTTGCAAGGCAGGAAAATAAGTTTTAGGCAAGCGTAAGTTTTAGGCTTTGGTTTGGTGTACATATGAATTGCTGTGCTGATCTGTCACCGTCAGAACACTCAGCACGCATCTTAATGCAACACTGGCTTATTACTATAGTATATACAGCCTACTATTGAATTTAAGCAGTAGGCATCAGTTCACTATGGTACATCCTTGTCACATGACCTTCTATTGCTGCACTGATTCAGCAAGTGTCGGTTTCATTTTTTTAAATAAAGCTTTTTGCATTCTTATTTCGATTTTGTGTACAATTTGAAAGTTGAATCAATATTACTTCTGGTTTATCAATCACTTTGGAAAGTGCATTGCATTGTGGGATACAGAATGTAAGTTTTATACATGCAAGAAAGACACCAATCACAATTCAGTATGCAAATATGTGTCATTAAGAGGAGCTGAGTTATGGTTATTATGGTTTAGAAAAAGCATAATAATGTTTAAGAAATGTCATTACTATGGAAGCTTCTATCTACCTCAGAATAAACAAAAAGGTTTCTGCAACTTCTCATAATTGTGACTTTACAAATCTCAAAATTTGAAATGGTCGCTAATTTATTGCTCACATTTGTTACTTTATAGCTCACAAATTTAAATCATACAACTGCAACTTTTATATCTCAGTGTGACTTTATACACTACCATTCAAAAGTCGGGGTCTTTTATTTATTTATTGTTTATTTATTTATTTTTGAAAGACATTCATACTTTTTTTTAGATTTATATTTTGTCATTTTTGCTTTTTATTATGATTTATTAAGATTATTAATAAATCATATCAGCCCAAGACTGGTTGCCCACTGAAGCTAAGCAGGGTTGAGCCTGGTCAGTACCTGGACATCCTGGGAAAACCTGGTGCTGTTAGTGAGGCCAGCAGGGGGTGCTCACCCTGTGGTCTGGGTGGGTCCTAGCACCCCAGTATAGTGATGGGGACACTATATATGTCAAAAAACAGTCTTTCAGATGGTACGTTAAACCGAGGTCCTGACTCACTGTGGTCATTAAAAATCCCAGGATGCCCTTCGAAAAAGAGTAGGGGTGTAACCCCGGCATCCTGGCCAAATTCGCCAATTGGGCTCTGACCATCATGGCCTCCTAATGATATAATACATGATCTGTGGAGTATTTTGAGCTGAAACTTAGGATGCCCTTCGAAAAAGAGTAGGGGTGTAACCCCTGCATCCTGGCCAAATTTGCCCATTGCCCTCTGACCATCATGGCCTCTTAATCATCCCCATATTCTGATTGGCTTCATCACTCGGTCTCCTCTCCACCAATAAGCTGGTGTGTGGTGGGCGTTCTGGCACACTATGGCTGCCGTCGCATCATCCAGGTGGATGCTGCACACAGGTGGTGGTTGAGGAGATCCCCACCTCACAATTATTATTATTATGATTATTTATGCCATTACAAAAGATTTCTAATTCAAATAAATGCTGTTCTTTTAAACTTTCTAGTCATCAAAGAATCCTGAAAAAATGTCAAATGTTCCCACAAAAATATCAAACAGCACAAGTGTTTTCAACATTGTGAAGAAGAAATGTTTCTTGAGCAGCAAATCAGCATATTAGAATGATTTATGCAGGATCATGTGACAATGAAGATAAACTACATTTTAAAATATATTTAAATAGAAACAGTTACATTTCAAATATATTCAAATAGAAACAGTTATATTCGAACAGAACCGTTTTAATAACATTTTACAATGTTTTACTGCATTTTTTGATCAAATAAAAGCAGCCTTGATAAGCTTAAGCTTAAGTTATAAAACTCAAACTTTTGAATTGTAGTGTCTCACACAATGTGGCCTTTTATATACATTTTATCTCATAATTACCTGTCTCATTTTTACTCTAATGCAGAAATGGGCTTCCATACAATACAATGCTGCCTTACTAACAGTATCATACTGTGAGGGGAGACACTTACATGATAATAAGGAGAGAGTGCAGGTTTCCCTCGTACCCAGGAGGCAGGGACATCTTCAGATCTAGGTCTGTAATTATTCGCAAAGGCAGTTAAAACAGAACAAACGTCCGTTTCTACTGTATTATACTGCAAGGAAGTCTGGGTACCATCTCATCAATATTCTAACCACTGGTAAATGAGCTCCCATGAGACTGCTGGTTTTTAACAAACTCTCAGTAACACACACACACATGCACAAACAAACACAGTCAAGGGACCTGATACAGTACATGTGCAATTTATATACACAGATGTACAAGGGAAGGTTTGCATGTGTGGACAAGCAAAAATACACACGCTGCAATAGGCTTCCCCCAAAGGCACCACTAATGGTACAGCTGTGAGGAAACAATGAGCAAAACCAGAAAGAAACAATTATCTGATTGATTCTTAAATCTAGTTGGCTTTGTAAAAGGTTTAGATCAATTTATGCTGAAAGGAGGAATGTAATCAGTTACTTAAGAAATCTTTTTACCTCTGTTGTCAGACGAAAGCGTCTGGAAAACTGTCTCCGAGAGCCTCTTGGTTTCAATGCACAAACAAACATAGTCAAGGGACCTGATACAGTACATGTGCAATTTATATACACAGATGTACAAGGGAAGGTTTGCATGTGTGGACAAGCAAAAATACACACGCTGCAATAGGCTTCCCCCAAAGGCACCACTAATGGTACAGCTGTGAGGAAACAATGAGCAAAACCAGAAAGAAACAATTATCTGATTGATTCTTAAATCTAGTTGGCTTTGTAAAATGTTGAAATCAGTTTATGCTGAAAGGAGGAATGTAATCAGTTACTTAAGAAATCTTTTTACCTCTGTTGTCAGACGAAAGCGTCTGGAAAACTGTCTCCGAGAGCCTCTTGGTTTCAAGAGACTTAGCGAGGAGGCTGTTGTCTTCCACCACTGTGTATCCTGCAAGAGCAGAACGCAGACTTAATCCATTTTTGGCATAAAACCAGAACAGTTCACCACATCGGAGTATTTAAATATTAACACTGTGAAATAATGAATCTAGCAAGATAATACAATTCAAGAGGATACCTTGAAGCACTTTTTTAATGTTTTAGAGAACACTCTTACTACAACAAACTGAAAATACTCACTGGGGTGCTTTCATCCTAAAATAAATTCAATTTTTTCTCAGAATCATATGGGCAATTAAAGTTAAGTGAATAAAGTAGTGCTTGGGTGTTGCTATGTGATCATTAAGGTGTTCTAGGTAGTTTATAGGTGGTCCTCTATGATATTCTAGTCTGTAGATATGGTTCCCTCCTTCAATGTATGTACTACAGTTCAAAAGTTTAGGGTCGGTATGATCTCTTAATTTAAAGAAGTTTCTTATGCTCACCAAGGCTGCATTTATTTGATCAAAAATACAGTAAGAACAGTAATATCGTGAAATATTATTACAATTTAAAATAACTATTTTCTATTTTAGTATATATTGAAATGTAATTTGTTCCCGTTATGCAAAGCTGAATTTTCAGCATCATTACTCCGGTCTTCAGTGTCACATATGACCCTTCAGATATCATTCTAATATGCTGATTTGATGCTCAAGAAACATTTATTAATATCACTGTTGAAAACAGCTGTGCTGAATTTTTTAATTTTTTTTAATGAACAAAAAGTTACAGTAGAAACTTCTAGGACGAATTACACAGTTTTAGGAATTCAAACAATCTCATAATCTTAAAGGCACAATATGTAAGATTTTTTTTATTAAAATATCCAAAAACCGCTAGAACAGTGTTATATATTTTGCTGACTTGTGCACTTACATTATCCCAAATGTTTAAAAATTGCATATTGTGCCTTTAAGTATGAACAATAATAAAAGTCATATTTTATAAATGCTTAATACAGCAAACTATAACTAAGTTCAGTAGGATGCATTTAAATTAAAAAAATATATTTTTTGACCCAATTGTATTGGCAATTAAAATATTTTTTTTCTGTTATACAGCCACAAACGGCTGACTACACAACAGCTTGAAATAAGAAAAATTTTAATTCTACTTACTGGAAGGGTCACTTGTGCTGTGAATGGTTACTTTTGGGACACCTGGGCCTGTAAAAGTATGACAGAGATGAGAAACATCTTTTTTGACAGAGATGAGAATGTCTTTTTTCATCAGCCTAAGTGTGTCTGCATTTGTGCATGAGATTCAGTGTGATCTTACCCAAGCAATAGAGGGTAAAGTATGTCTGATTGGGACTGAAGTCTGCTTTAAAGAAGCTGCATCGCTCAAACAGGTTGCATGTCAGACACTGGCGATGAAACACTCCTCCGAGCTCCACGCTAGGCAACAAGCAAGCATTTCATTATTACACAATTCATCATCAATGCTGATGCAATCAAACTTTAAATCCACCCTTTTTCTTTTTCTTTCCAACCCTATCTGACCTTCATTTGACCACATATAGTGATCAGGATTGTCAAAATGAGATTTAACACCTAAGCTTAAAACTAAACTCTTGACAGCCCACTGTCTAAAAAAGCAGCATGAACATTGAAATTTCTCATTTTGCATTTCACAGAAGAAAGTCAGAAAGACGTGAGAAAAAGTTATAGAAGAAAGTCAGCCATAAGTAACATTATAAATGCCTTTACTGTCACGTTGATCAAATGAATGCATCCTTGATTAATAAAAATTAACTTATTTAAATAAATAAACAATAGTATACAATTTTGGCTGAACTGTCCCTATAAATTCCAATACAAACACACACACACACACGTGCTGATCTGGTTTTCCATTATCCACTTTGGTTAAGCCCAATGCTGGACCTTTGCACTTTCACCATATTGCTCGGATAGTCGCAATAAAAAATCTATGAGAACTTGTGGCCCACAGAGAGCAAGTGAGAGTCTTGAAGCATTAATCAAAGGTTAGAGAACACCCTTTAAATCGTTGTGAGGTGCAGCACCTCCCCCTCTACCCATCTCCCTTTCAACCTTCTCTATCTCTCTCTGCCTCTGACTTTCTCTCTCTCCTAAGCTGCTGTTCCTGCTAAATGAATTAGCTGGACTTCTTGCCTGGAGCTCACTAGAGGGGAAAAAAAGTCTATTGGCTTTTCACAAATGTCCCTGAAACACATCTCAGACGTAGACTGGAAAGATTTAATTGATTACAACACAAGTCGTCAATGAACATACGTACTCAGAAACTGGAATGTCAATGCGGATGCAGAATATCAACATGTAATAATCAACATATCGAGAAAATGAAATACAACACAACAGGGTGTGCAAACGCTGGCAGATTGATTTAGATGCAAATGCACAGCACGGCATGAGAGGCGCAGAATTCCTAGACAGTGATGATAAAATACTCAATTACAGCTTATAAGACGTATCGGTTTGGGAGAGAACCCACCTGTATAAGTGTCTGCTCTGCCGCGACTCCTCCGTACTCAGAAAATAGCTGCAAGGGAAAGACACATTAAGAAAATCTGAAAAGCTTTTTGAGTTACTATTTGTAGACAGTCATTTATCCTCTTATAATAGAGTCTACTTCCACATACGACCTGCATACTAAGTAGGTTTGTAGCGGTTACATATGAAAAGGGAAGTCAGTGACATGCATTCATTTCTGTCAGTACCAGATTCATCGTAAGTCATTGATTTGCAGGCCTAAACTTTGATTTGAGCTATAGATCTGACTACTTATAAATATTCATGCTTTGGAAAGATGAGGAAAAAAATTCTGTAAAGCTATGACTTCTGAGATGGTTATTCAAGAGGGTTTGTTTTATGCGGTTGCAATTAGAGAACAAAGCCGGAGAGAAAATAACAGTCATTACAGCCATTTCAACATTAAATTACTGTATTCATTTTAATTAAGTGCCATCTTTGCTGATTCGGTGGGTTAAATAGGATCGCTAGGCGTAAATAATTCAATAATTAGCTACTCATATTAGGTAGTTGGGTTGACTATGAGATGCTTTACGACACAGTCTTGAGGCTTTTGAGAAACGGTTTGCTTGTCAAATTCGATCTGTCATACATTTTATCGTTCTCCTCGTCAAGGGCACACAGTGAGGTTACATCCCAGTTCCCTGATGTTAGAAAGCGAGGGGAAACAGAAGGAGTGGAAGTCTGAAGAAAAACAAAGAGAAATAGATAGAAAAAAAGCTTATTAGAGGAGGCAAGTTATAATGGAAAGCAGTGGACAGGAAGATAAGAAAACAATACATTTAAGCGTCAGATAGCAAATGAGTTGAAGAAAGAAAGACAAATAAAAAAATAAAAAGGTTATAATTAATGCATTTATATAAAATATAATATTCATATAATAAAATAAAAATAAGAAATAAAAGAAATATCATTACTAAGAACTATTAAATGTATGTATATACAGTATATATATATATATATATATTAATTCAATAATTACTCATATTAGGTAGTTCGGTTGACTATGGGATGCTTTACGACACAGTCTTGAGGCTTTCGAGTTGAAATGGTTTGCTCATAAAATTCGATCTGTCATACATTTTATCGTTCTCCTCGTCAAGGGCACACAGTGAGGTTACATCCCAGTTCCCTGATGTTAGAAAGCGAGGGGAAACAGAAGGAGTGGAAGTCTGAAGAAAAACAAAGAGAAATAGATAGAAAAAAAGCTTATTAGAGGAGGCAAGTTATAATGGAAAGCAGTGGACAGGAAGATAAGAAAACAATACATTTAAGCGTCAGATAGCAAATGAGTTGAAGAAAGAAAGACAAATAAAAAAATAAAAAGGTTATAATTAATGCATTTATATAAAATATAATATTCATATAATAAAATAAAAATAAGAAATAAAAGAAATATCATTACTAAGAACTATTAAATGTATGTATATACAGTATATATATATATATATATATGAAGAGTTTATTTGCAAAAACAGATAACTCAGTTATTTAACATTTTCAAAAATCATGGTTTTTATTATGTTATCATGTTTTTATTGTGATTTGTGTTAGTTAGCTGTATTTTTTAGTTACCTTAATCAAAATAACCCAACTGCAGTTTGATAGATTAATTGGAATGCACAATGAAAAAACAAGATTTTTTTTAATTGTTAAAAACGGATTTATCTGTTTTTGCACATGAACTCTTCATATATATTGTAACGGGCTGACAAGACGTGAGACATGTGGATCCATCTGCAGGCTTTATTTAAGAGACGTAATTTAGTATATTTAGTAATATCATATAATAATTTAGTATATTATATAATATATAATTTGCTATTATTATATAATGATATAATTATTTTTTTATTTTTCATTTTTACAGATAAAGCTTATATGAGGTTTAAAGAGAAGGCGGGTTATTATAGCAAGTAGTGGACAGAAAGATAAGGCAATATTAGATTTAAGTGTCTGAGTGTGACACCTGACTTGAGTGTGACACCAGGTGGATGCTGCACACTGTTGGTGGTTGAGGAGATTCCCCCCTTCTATGTAAAGCGCTTTGAGTGCCCAGAAAAGCGCTTTAGGAATATCCTTAAGAACACATCATATAACATGTGTTACTTCAAGCTCATGATATAAATGTGTAAATTACTTTGAATAAAGCAAACAGAAATCTAAATCAAGAGCTAGCGCACCTGAAACTAAACTGAACTATTTATTAAAATCAGAAGTCTAACATTTCAATAAAGAGAAAGACTTTACAATGCAATGGAGAGAAACACTTTACAATACACAGGAGTTTAACATCGCCCCCACACATCCATAAAAAGTCACATATACGCTGGGTACTTCAAGTTTCTAATCACAAAGTTTATGAGGGCATCTAATTTCATTGTGCAGAACGTGAGTATGAAATTATTCCACCCACAGACCTGAGCGGGGAGGCTGGCGATGTGGAGAAACTCCCCACGGGCCCCTTGCTTGGCAGGCAGGATGAGGTAAAACAGGGAAGCATCTGCCGTGAACAACGGCTCCTCCTGTAGGACAAGCCACCATCAATATACTTTCCTCCAACAGAGCAACACGAGACGACACCATTTCGATGCAATTCATTTCTGGTCAAGGTGGATGCAGCTTTTAGGAACCGAGGAACGCAGCCTGAGAATTGATTACATGCCTCCCTGGAGAGAGTGAAAGAGAGAGAGAGAGAGGCTGAACTTACCTGCCGCTGGTTGTTGTGCCAGAAGTCCATCGCCATTTGGTGCCTCTGAAGATTAAAGATGTTTTAAAAGGATTAGGCATGTCATATATTATAAGTAAAATATGTGCTTAAATCATTTGTTCTCTTCTGCCTGCCAGGGAGAGTTGTACATCATGAATGCAGAGTTTCAGTCAATCCATCATTCTCATTGGCATCGCATTAAGGAAGTGCATGCTTCATTTTTATTTGCAGTTTAGATTTGCTGTCAGGAACATCTAGAGTTCTACATCTATGCCATTAGGCTGTTCTAAGTTAACCTTATTTAAGATATAAGCTACATATTTCCTCTATTTTTACATTTAGATTACATTTGCCTTCAAATATCAATTATTCATATTGTGCATTATTTTGAAGTTTATTTACTTTTCTGCTTAGCAATACTGATATTGAATTATAGCAGAAAGTACATTAAAAGATAAAATTGCAAGGAAAAAACATAAAATACAAAGATACCAGAGAAATATAAAAACAAAATTTTCCAAACAAATTCAATAATACTACTAAAAAAAAAGAAACGCATACATAAGCAAAATATACATCTATTAACACACGCACATCAACCTAAAAAGTTTTAAAAAATACAAATACAACTGCAAAAAGGACCATAAGTATCCACATTACATTCATTGAACAGTTAAACGCCAAAAGGAATGGTAGAACTAGCATAATATTTTGTCCTTGCTTTGAATAATGTCAAATTGCTTTGCTTCCTAAGAAGCCGACCAGTTTTTTTCACCCCTGGTTGGTGGAAAAAGATCATGAGGATGATCATTCTGGGCCATCTCTTGTATCAATTTGATGGTGGCTTGCTCTCTCCAACCTTGTAAATCAGGTAGATGTATTGATGTGTTGGTAAATCTCTCAATGATTCGTTGTGCTCTCTTTTGCATGCTTTCCAGCAAAGCCAACTAACAGCACATTTGGATACTCCAGACAGGGTCTGATCAAGGAGCAATACATACTGACTAAATCCTCAGCAGAAGCTCCATGTTTTGCAAAAAGTGAAGACGTTGAGATGCCTTTTTTACACACTCATCGATGTGATAATTTCCATTTAATTGACATCTTGACCATTTAATTGTCAAGATGATACCCTAGGCATTTTGACTGTAATACCACAGGAACCTCCTGTCCTCCCAGTATGAGTTGTGGTGGTTGTATTGAATTTTTTGCTAAACATATCCTTATTTGCTTCCATTTAAGAACATGTTGTTATTTTGTGCCCAAGTTTCCAAAGCAAGTGCCTCAATTTCCATCTTTTTGTCTGTTTCTATGTCTTTTAACTTTACAGCTCGTGATATACCAATATCATCTGCATAAACTGTGTCCAGTGTATCACCAAAAATGACTTCACGGGTTGACATATGAAGTAAAAACAGATATGGTGACACTACTCCACCTTGGGGAACCCCCGATGTTCACTGCTTCTACCGTTTGCAACCACCCTTTGCCGTCTTCCTGTTGTGTAGCTAAACAACCAAGCCAACAACTGTGGACAGAGGTTAAGTGTTGTTAAATGCTGAAAAAGCCTTGCATGGTCAACTCGATCAAATGCTTTTAACATATCTGCCAATAACACACGGACCATAGTCTGTCTCCCTTAGCCATGTATGTATATTCTTGACCAAAGCATTCGTCGTGCTGTGTTTAGGCAGATAAGCATACTGATTGTTGCATTCTTTCAGAACTGTTGGCATAAGTTTCTTCAAGACAAACCTCTCTTGCATTTTACCTATGCAAGAAGTTAAGGAAATTGGTCTCCAGTCAGATTTTTCATTTGGTCGGGCAACCTTTGGGACTGGGCATATATTAGCTTCTTTCCATGCAGTTGGTAGAATACCCACTTGATATGAGGTATTGATCAGTTGTGCTATAACTGGTGCCAGGTCTTCTGCGTGATTCTTGGGAAGCCAAGGAGGTATATCATCAGGGCCACTAGCTTTCCGTGTATCTAATCTTAGCAGGGCTTGTTTTATCTGTCCTATACTTCACAATTCATGCGTTTTTGTTGGTTTGGCCAAAGGAAAAATCGCACACATCTTATCACTAGTCCAAGCCTCGGCAAAAAAACTGTTTAAGACCTCTGCTACATGCATTATAATTTTGTTATGCCTAAATTACCTTGTAGCTTTAAATATAGCTGCTTTTTACTTTTTCATTTTTTATTATTTAGACAAATAATATTGAATTTTAATATCAACCATTTATCAGCCCACATCTTCAACGGCTAGAGTTCCTGAACTATTTTCACAATCATTTTATCCATAAAAATTTCAAAAATTCATAAAAAAGAAGATAAATCATCCAGCTTTCAGATCAATCATAACATTACATTTACACTACCATTCAAAAGTTTGGGGGTCAAAGAAAGAAAACACTGTCATAAGTGACAGTAATGGCATTTATGCTTTTTTACTTTCTATTCATAAATGAATCCTAAAAATTATAAATAATATATATATATTCAATATAAATAATAAGTATTTGTTTCTTGAGCACCAAATCAGCATATTAAAATGATTTCTGAAGGATCATGTGACATTGAAGACTGGAGTAATGATGCTGAAAATTCAGCTTTGCATCACTGGAATAAATTACATTTTAAAATATATTAAAAATGAATTTTAAACTGTAAAAATATTTTACAATATTACTGCTTACTGTACTTTTGCTGAAATAAATGCAGCCTTGGTGAGCATAAGAGATTTTTCAAAAACAATAGGCGTAACCCTAACCCCAAACTTTTCAACAGTAGAGTATATATCATATTTTTGTATATAATATTACATATAAAAATGTTATTGATTAAAATTTGTATACATTTCAGTATTAAGTAGTTTGTATTGAGAAGTTTTGTGATTAAGCTAAAATCACTTAATAAATGGCTTGTGGCGTTGACAGAATCATCTATCATCCCTTAACATACATAAAGCGCATAGTCTTGAGAGGTTTATACATTATTGTTAAAAATCTATGGAGAAAATTAATGGGATTTTTACTTTCAGAACCCGACAGTTGCACTCTGTTGTGTATTTCAGCGCAGCTCCCAGTGCCTCCAATTATAAAGCACTGTTGACAGATTTGTCAACACACAGAGTGTAGAAATCAAACAAGGACAGCAGACGCTCCTGTCATTCACAAGCACATACATACAAAGGGAGTGACCTTTAAAGGAGTGACATTAAAGCAGGCTGCACATTAAAACTGAGGCTTAGACGTAAAGCTGACTTAGTCTTTCACGCCTCCAGAAGGAAATTAGGCTGAGCCGGCAGAAGAGAAGTAAGAGATTCTCTGCAAGTTCTGAGCAGAATAAGGAATGAGAGCCCAATCGATGAACACTTTTCAGTTAAAGACACCCAGTGGGCTGCAGTGGATGAGCTGGTAACCCCTCACCTCTGAGCAGGCTCCTGTCGTAGCCTCACACACACACAGCACAGACTGGTTCTGGACCCGGTTCAACCAGCGCACAGTCAGACGTGTGCTGGGATTTTAAAGCATTCAGTCCTAAATTATTTGCATATCATGAATTGCGTAAACGTGTTCGTTGCCTACAACCAACACTGCGACAGTGAAATGAATACAAATGGTTTGCAATGCTTTTTACAATATAAAAAAGTTTTTGTTTAATAATACATGCAATAGACAGTTAAGAGGCATTTCGCCATGTTTTCAGAAGGATATTAAAAATGAACACCTCTATATCCATAGCCTGTGCACTGCATCTGCGCAAATGTGGACGCACGATAATTAAAGATAAACTTCACCTGATGTTGTGGGAGTCTGGAGGAATCATCTCTAATGTGTGTGCTGGACCATATAAATTCACCACAAACAGACTGGCTGATGGGATTCTGGAACCCGCCTGTACAGAGCAAATGATTTCAACATCATCAAATCAAAGACTAAATGCTCTTACAGTCTATAAATAGTGCATATATTTGCATTAAAGATTCAATATAAACTTTTACTGTGATACTGGATTCATTTTGAGGTTATTTCGTCTTGTAAAACAAAATAGTTGGCTGCATGTCCACTGTTCTTACCTTTGGATACGGGTAGAGGACATTAGAAGGGTAGATTCCGCCCAGGAAGTGATGAATTTCCATAAAAGGAGTTGCTGAGTTGTTAATAGACAGATATGCCAGGCGCGCGCCGTCTTTTGCCCACCAGAACGCAGGGTATTTCAGCAGTATCTCCTCTAAATTTTAATAAGGTAAGACAGAAATTAAATTTTGATGAGGCTAATTAACCCATACGTAGACCTACGCTGATTATCGTAAATCTCATTTACCCATCTCATTGTGTATTTATGAGATCAAATGAGATAACAGTCTCTTCGTGAATACTGCAATGTCTTCAAGGGGTTGTCAAAATTGTCTCAAAGAAACACATCAAATTAAGGCTACTCATTAGAGTGATGGACTGCAGTGAGAGTGTTTTGAAGGGGACAACACGTCCGAGATCACTGACCCTCATAGGTCCAATCAGACAGTCCATTAACCACCATTCCGTTTCTGCCCGTGGCTGTCAGACGCATCGCTTTGCTAAAAACATCTGGCTTGTAGTAGATGTCATTTTCAAAGACAGAGACCTGGAGTCAACAAATAAACACAGCCAGCATTAATATAGAGCGATTAAGCCCTAATATAAAATGTTTATAAGGATATTCAGAAATGAAGAGGGCTGAGTGCATATAAACAATTCAAATCACAGCTTGATAATTATTTTAATGCTATGGCCAATATTAAATTCTTATAATATATTGCCTGAAGAAATAACAAATAAAACACTAAAATCTGGAAAATCAGTCCTTTTAAATGCTACAACTGAATTTAGCCATCAAAACGTTATATACAGTATGAAAATGTATATCCATTTTGAGATTTGTTATGCACAATTTAATAATGTTTTATAATTAAATATACTGATAATTAACTCAACTAAACTCAAACTTTATTTATAAAGCACTTTCAACACCACGACTGGAACCAAAGTGCTGTACAGAGAAAGATAAGAAAAAATAAATAAATTATACCAACAAATAACATGCACAGCTAAAAAGCATTGTCAAACGCTAGAGAAAACAAAAGAGTTTCACGCGCACTCTGAAAAACACCCAAAGTTGGAGAAGATTTAATAGACAGAGGAAGGGCATTCCAGAGCCTAGGAGCTGCCACAGAGAAAGCACGATCGCCTCTACATTTTAGACGAGATCACGGAACCATTAGGAGTAGTTGATCATTTGAGCGCAGAGATCTGCTGGATTGACAGACACTAATTCAATTAGTAACATAGTCAGGTGATAGACCATGCACAGCCTTGAAAACATACAACAACACTTTGTAATTAATTCTGTATCTTATAGGTAACCAATACAGTTTGATTAACGCAGGAGTAATATGCTCTCTCCCCTTTGTACCTGTTAAAAGTCTGGCAGCTGAGTTCTGAACAAGCTGCAAACGAGAGAGAGAGAGCTGATTTAAACCCAGATACAACACATTACAATAATCCAAACGAGATGACACAAAAGCATGAACAACCTTCTCCATGTCTTCAAAAGAGAGGATGGCTTCAACTTAGATATTGACCTTAGATGGAAAAAGCTATTTTTAACAACACCATTAATTTGTCGGCCAAATTTGAGCTCAGAGTCAAAGATGACACCAAGGTTTTTTACACAGGACAGTTTCTTCCCAGGAACCCTTATTACCAAATAAAATCATCTCTGTCTTATCTTCATTCAATTGAAGAAAATTATTTGCCAACCAGCACTTAACCTCTGTCAGACATTCATGCAGAGACTGCAAAGCATATTTATGGTCCTGTTTCAGTGGTAAATAAATTTGTGAATCATCCGCATACAAGTGATAATGAATCCCACATTTTTCAAAAATAAAACTCAATGGTAACATATACAGAGAAAATAAAATTGGTCCCAGAATAGAGCCCTGAGGAACCCCACAGACAAGAGGAGCAGTAGAAGTAGAGTAATCACCCAAACTGATTGAAAATGTCCTATCCTTCAAATAAGAAGAGAACCATTTTAGGGCTAAGCCCTGAACACCAACATGATTCTTGAGACGATCAATAAATATATCGTGATCAACTGTATCAAATGTTACAGTAAGATCTAACAAAAGTAGAACAACACAACTCCCAGAGTCAGCGCCTCTTAAGATGTCATTGGAGACCCTCAATAGAGCAGACTCTTTACTGTGGCCGGCTCTAAAACCAGACTGGAATCTATCTAAGATATTATTCCTCTTTAAAAAATAATTTAACTGCTCCAACACAATTTTTTCCAATACCTTAGATATAAAAGGCAGCTTCGAAATGGGGCTAAAATTACTCATGTTAAAGGGATCTAAACAATTTTTTTAAGGAGGGGCTGAATAACAGCATGCTTAAAACTAGCCAGAACAACACCAGATGACAGACTATTATTCAAAATAGAGAGAATACTTGGACCAATAGTGTCAAAAACCTTCTTAAACAAAGAAGAAGGAATGACGTCACCTGGAGACCTGGTAGGCTTCATATGGGCAATTATATGTTTAAGCTGCTGCAGAGAAGTAGGCAAAAAACTTGTCAACTGATTAATAGGATCGGCAGGAATGATCAGATCATTGCTAGCAGATGACATTTGAGATCTAATTCCAGCGACCTTACCAATAAAAAAATTTAAGAATGCTTCACATATATAAGCAGAAGGAATGAGTGATGGGGTGGCAACAGGATGGAGCACAGCGTTAACAGTAGAAAAAAGTACTCTAGAATTATGACAGTTTCTGGAAATAATGGCAGAAAAATTATTTGCTCTAGCTAATTTGACAGCCCTTTAATATTAATTCAGACAGTTCTTCAAAATCTCATAAGAGACCTGTAATTTATCTTTAAGCCATTTACGTTCAGCCCTCCTGCACTCCTGCCTGAGAGCACGGGAAGTACTATTTAACCAGAGCTGTAATTTAACCTTGTTTTTTAGCCTTGAAAGGAGCCACAACATCTAAAATATCAGAACAAGAAGCGTTAAATTGATTAACCAACTCTTCTAAATCCATACTATGACAGGGAGATTCAAACAAAGTGAGTAAAGGAGAAACCTCAAAAGCTGCTGAAAAACTACTAGCTGTGAAAGGAGAGGATAAAGGACACGAGATGCAACAGGAACAGAAACATTACTTAAAACATCACATGGAAAATTTGAGATAAAAAGAACAGTCTTATGATCAGAAAAAACAGTATCAACAATCTTCAGATTACCAACAGAAAACCCCAAAGATAAAATAAGATCAAGAGCATGACCATGCTCATGAGTTGGACCAAAAACACACTGTAAAAGATCAAATGACTCTAATAAATTTAAGAAATCTTTGACCAAGGGCTTTGAAGGGCCCAAAATTTTAATTTTGTCAAAAGAGGGAACAATTGCAGATAAAAGTTCAGAGAATTCTTGTATAAAATCCCCATGAGAGTTTGGGGGTCTATAAATTAAAACACATAGCACAGACTTAAAAGAATTCAATGTAATTAACTGAGATTCAAACGAACAAAAAGAGTCAGAGGGTAAAAGTCTACATTTAAACTTTTCTTTAAAAACAACTGCAAGACCCCCACCCTGGCTAACGGACCTGGGGGTACTGAAAAAACTGCAACCAGCAGAAGAGAGTTCAGAGAGTGAAGACGTGTCACCAGCAATAAGCCAAGTCTCAGTAACAAATAAAAAAATTGTTTGTGAGAGGCAAAGAGATCATTCAGAATAAAAGTCTTATTTGCCGGAGATCTCGCGTTTATCAACGCCATTGTCATTGGAGTGGTGACAGAAAAAGATGGCGATTAAAATTATTAACTTAAATTAAAATAAAACTAATATCATCCAATGACCTATGACTGTCAAGTCTGGTCAAGTCATTAAAAAAATCCCCATGAGAGTTTGGGGGTCTATAAATTAAAACACATAGCACAGACTTAAAAGAATTCAATGTAATTAACTGAGATTTAAACGAACAAAAAGAGTCAGAGGGTAAAAGTCTACATTTAAACTTTTCTTTAAAAACAACTGCAAGACCCCCACCCTGGCTAACGGACCTGGGGGTACTGAAAAAACTGCAACCAGAAGAAGATAGTTCAGAGAGTGAAGACGTGTCAAGAAGATAGTTCAGAGAGTGAAGACGTGTCACCAGCAATAAGCCAAGTCTCAGTAACAAATAAAAAAATTGTTCGTGAGAGGCAAAGAGATCATTCAGAATAAAAGTCTTATTTGCCGGAGATCTCGCGTTTATCAACGCCATTGTCATTGGAGTGGTGACAGAAAAAGATGGCGATTAAAATTATTAACTTAAATTAAAATAAAACTAATATCATCCAATGACCTATGACTGTCAAGTCTGGTCAAGTCATTAAAATTTACAAAAATCTAAATAAATGAATTTAAATAATATAAAACATTTTTATTTAATGTGTTTTAACTAAATTAAAGAAGCAAATGTTGTGAGGTCATGTGACAAATTGTCCACATTTGTCAACAGTTGTTAACATTTACCATTATTCTTAAATTTAAGCCATACTACTAAAATACCTACAACTAAATATACTAAAACTTAATAAAAAACAATATGGATATATGTATTAAAGGGGTCATATGATGTTGCTAAAAAGAACATTATTTTGTGTATTTGGTGTAATGAAATGTGTTTATGCGGTTTAAGGTTAAAAAAACACATTATTTTCCACATACTGTACATTATTGTTTCTCCTCTATGCCCCACGTTTCTGAAACGCGTCGATTTTTATTTTTTTTTTACATCGGTCTGAAAAGCGAGGTGTGCTGTGATTGGCCAGCTATCTAGTGCGTTGTGATTGGCCGAATACCTCAAGCGTGTGACAGAAATGTTACGCCCCTACCATATTGTGATGCCGTGTCCCGGCCGGAGCGACGAGACAAAAACATTAAAACCCATTATAAACTAGACATTTGTTGCATCCAGTGGGGACATAATTACGGATTATAATGACTTATACTGTCTTTTTACGCGTTGCATTGCATCGCACCGCGTAAACATAAAACCATGTCTGCATTTACACTAACAAAAATGACAAAACGACAAAACAAGATTAATAAACTTTACCTAAAATGAAAATGAAAACTGAAGATATATATAAAAAAATCTAACTCAAAATATTAACAAAAATGACAATAGTATATCAATGATACTAAAATAACAGTATATACAGAGTTCTGTATACAGAGAGTACATAGAGTGTGTATTCAGTAAGCTAGTATTCTATTCCGAACACAACCTAAAAGTTCATTTTAAGGAAGCTCGCTATAGAAAAATAGACAAAGATGGACGGTGGGTTCATCCTCACCAACTGGTTCCCTTGAGGTCCCCATGCTGCATACTGAAGTACAGATGTATCCTCCTCTGATGGGGTGAGGTCTGTAATCTCCCTAAGATAAGTACACAAAAACACACGCATCAAGATTGAACAAGATTGAACCATTACTTCACACGCATTTGAAACACTACACGGTACAAATTCGTAAGGTTCTGGGTCATTTTTAGATTGCTTGAAAGGGCTCGTAAAAACAGCACGATGCAGATGCAGAGTTAATACAAAATGAAAGTGAAGTATACAGAGAGGCAGGGGTCTGGTCATGCAATGAAACCACAGTTAAGGCTAAATGATCTGAGAATTCTGCCAAAACAAGCAAATGGGCTTCAAGACATTTGTTAAAGTTTCACTGCTGTTTCACATCCACAAGCAAAAAATCTAAGGCTTTTATCAACTAACAGAACATAGCAAATCCCCGTCAGGGCATTCAATAAATTGCAGGTTAGTGTAAAAACATTTCATCCAGCAGAGACCTGTCAACTCCAGAACAAATAGTACCTTTCCATACTTTTAAATATTCAATGCCTGATGGATAACGTTGGATAAAAGCACAAACGCTGAGGGACCTCTGGACTGGTTTTTGGTTGTGCACATGCCCAGTGCAGGCCATGCAGAGAGGGACCTCCGTCTCTACCTACCCGCTGGCCACTGTGAAGATTGCAAAGGATGCTGTGAAGGACTGTGAGAATACCTGGAAAGGGGCAGAGGACATGGTAGATCCCTAAATTGTACACAAACACGTGTATGAACGGAATTGCATACTACCACAGTATGCTTTCTGTAGTACACTCTTAAAAATAAAGGTTCCAAATGGGTGTTTTTGCAGTGATGCCATAGAAGAACCATTTTTGGTTCCCAAAAGAGCCTTTCAGTAAACAGTTCCTAAAAGAACCATTTTGAAGAACATTTTAAAAATCTAAAGAACCTTTTTCGACTATAAAGAACCTTTTCTGCATTTGAAAGGTTCCATGGATGTTCGAGGTTCTTCATATAACCACTGATGCCAATAAAGAAACTTTATTTTTAAGAGTGTATGTCTATTGTGGCCGCATTCAAATTTACAGAATGCATTTGAAATTTCAGGATTTCTTATTTAACTTGCCGAATTGTACAGTATAAGAATGAAATGCAATGCGTTCAACTTGACCTTCCATTTCAAGTGTGAAGTTTGATTGGGGTCGATAAGATTTTGTTGTATTTTTGAAAGAAGCATTTATTTGATCAAAACTACAGTAAATATTGTACAATATTATTACAATTTAGAATAACTGTTTTCTGTTTAAATATGTGACCCTGGGCCACAAAACCAGTCATAAGGGTCAGTTTTTCAAAGTGAGATTTATACATCTAAATAAGCTTTACATTGATGTATTAGGATAGGACAATATTTGGCAGAGATTTGAAAATGTGGAATCTGAGGGTGAAAAAAAACAAAATATTGAGAAAATCGCCTTCAAAGCTGTGTAAATGAAGTTCTTAGCAATGCATATTACTAATCAAAAATTAAGTTTTGATATATTTACGGTAGGAAATTTACAAAATATCTTCATGGAACATGATCTTTACTTAATACCCTAATGATTTTTGGCATAAAAGAAAAATCGATAATTTTGACCTATACATTGACCCATATTGTTGGCTATTGCTACAAATATACCCCAGTGACTTTTGTGGTCCAGGGTCACATATATTTAAAATGTAATTTATTCCTGTGATGCAAAGCTGAATTTTCAGCAGCTATTACTCCATTCTTCATTGTCACATGATCCTTCAGAAATAATTATAATTTACTGCTCAAGAAACATTTCTTATTATCAAAGTTAAAACAGCTGGGCTGCTTAATATTTTTGTCAAAACTGTAATGCTTTTTTCCCCAGGATTTTTTGATCAATAGAAATTTAAAAAGAACAACAACTTAATGCATCCTTGCCAAATGAAATTACTTTATTTTCTTCTTTAATTATTGAAAATAAATATTTAAACATGCAATATAGTGAGACCATGTGAGAACAATGTAGCACAATGCTATTTATTTATTTATTTGTAAAAAAGGAGCCTGTATCATTCTATCATACTATTTTAAACAACAGTCTATGTATACTGTGTAGTATGCAGTATGCTTGAATTCCATTCTGAACAAAGCACGCGTTCACATTCAGTTTGCACCGCTCATAATCTCTTTCATTCTCTCACTGCATGACAACACAACTGTGGATTCTGGTTAATGGTTCATTTCAATTTCAATTTCAAGCTTCATTCAGCTGATTCATCTGAGGAGCACCGTGAACAAAAGAAGCAATTCTTCAGAAAACATTTGAATTTATTTCACAATCAGTAGCTGGAAGGGAAATGGGAAGGCTTGACTCTTATTAGAACAGTACATCACATGTATGGGGTCATACGACAGAATGATAGCGGCATATGCCCCGTCTCGATCAGCATGATCATTGGGGTCAATATCCTTAAAAAAAAAAAAACTGCATGCGCAACATCCACATATCAGCTTGAAACCCCCTCCACTGGATTAGCACGTCAAAGATGACCTAAATCAATAGAAGTGTCCTTTTGGCCTCTGAGGACAATTGTGCATTTCGGCAATAAGGCAGGATAGTATATTACAATGCATTTGGCTATATGAAGATATATTTATCAGTTAGGTCTGTAATGATTTGTATAAAATTAGATGTATTGATTGCTGCAGCATCAGAACAGAACGCAGTGTGACAACAAGCTTTGAACTGCACTCGTTTCTCAAAAGCCTAATAGGATTGAAAGTCATGCCCTGCACTGCATACTAAAAACAGAACAGCCGACTGTCGCACTGTCTTGTACTGTTCAGCACTGATGTTAAAGGGGTCATATGATGCTGCTAAAAAGAACATTATTTTGTGTAATGGAATGTGTTTATGCGATTTAAGGTTCAAAAAACACATTATTTTCCACATACTGTACATTATTGTTTCTCCTCTATGCCCCGCCTTTCTGAAACGCGTTGATTTTTACAAAGCTCATCGGTCTGAAAAAGCGAGGTGTGCTCTGATTGGCCAGCTATCCAGTGCGTTGTGATTGGCCAAACAAAGTAGTTTCGCTTTCACAATGAATCACACAGCACATTCGCAGAATAAAAGTTACGCCTTCTTCCTTTGTGTGAACATTTGGGCGGCGTTATGCAAATCTTCCCACACAGTGATGTAGATATGTGGGGGCGTGTCAGAACGAGCCGTTTTAGGTAGGCGTGGCTGACTCTTAACTTTTATAAAGAATATCTCTTTGGATTTGAGACTTTAGTCTTTGCAACTTTACAGATCTTCTTTATGCACCAAGAGCTTGTAACACTCCAAAGAGAAAGGAAAAATTGAAATCGCATTATATGACCCCTTTAAACAAGTATTTCATAAAGATGAATGTTTGAGGTCAGTAAGATATTGTTTTTGAAAGAAATTAATACTTTTATTCAGCAAGGATGTATTAAATTGATCAAAAGGATGCATTAAATAGATCACAGTTAAAAAAAGATTTTTATTTCAAATAAATTCTGTCCTTCAATTTATCAAAGAATCCTGAAAAAAAAAATGTATTCGTTTTAAAAAAAACAAAAAAAAAAACAAGCAGCACAACTGATAACAAAAAAATGTTTATTGAGCACCAAATCTGTATATTAGAATGATTTATGAAGATTATGAGACACTGAAGACTGCTTAAAAAAAATTAGCTTTGCCATCACAGGAATAAATTATATTTTAACATATATTCAAATAGAAAACAATTATTTTAAATCGTAATCATATTTCACAATATTATTTTTCTGTATTTTTAAGTTTTTTTTTTTTTAAATCAGCCATGGCAAGCATAAGAGACTTCTTTCTAAACCATTTAAATCTTACCGACCCCAAGCTTTTTAACAGTATTGGATCTCAGTATTAAAAAGACAGACATAAGATTGAGTGGCAGGTGAAAGTTGCAATCTCAAAGTGTCTAGTTCTGAGTTTTAGCACATTTTTCTCTGAGCATATTAGACTGTATGTGTGTTGATTATAGGAAAAAAAGATTGTGGTTTCCTGCTGTGAGTCATAAATCCTCTTTTTGCAAGGATTCTCAAAATTAATATCCCTACGGTAAACAGTGGAAAAAATATTGCTAACGTGGGAATCGGCATCATTGTGACACTGGCATAGTAATCGCACTAATTTGCTCAATAACACTGAGCGCGGTACTGATGCCCACACAATTCTCAGTGCCAAAAGTGCAAGATCTGCCCTAGTTTGCCTTCCCGCCTGCCTTTTTCCCATTCATTCTGTTCTCTGTTCTCGCTGACTGTAAAATCTTTTGATTCGTGTTCATCACAACACGTCCTCCTCTGCGCTTTCAGTCTCAGGTTGCCCTGGTTCACAAAATGCGTACCTCTTCATTTCTGAATCTCTGTGGATGCTTTAGCTTTTATTCCTTTAACTTTGACTTCCTTCCTCCTTGGCTGTAAAACTGATAGTCCACCCAAAAAAAAGAAATATCTGTCATCATTTACTCAGCCTCATCTCACTGCAAATGCGAATGGCTTGCTTTTCCCAATTTTTTCCAGCTGCTTTTTCTATAGGCAATCACAATAACTGAAGCTTTCAAGATTTGAAAAAAGAATAAGATATACAAAAACCATGACGTTAATGTTTATTTTTTTATCTTCTTATAGTCGCATTCTTACATCTTCTTATAGTCGCATTTAGCAGATTAGAACTTGCTGATAATATAGCACACATTTTGCAACAATACAAGCAATCGAGCAGTTAAGATTTGCTATACACTAAATATATATCCTTTGCCGTATATATTGCTTTACATAACGCAACGCTGAACTCATATTTCATCCGCCCCGGAACTGCTTCCGTGTACAACCGTTGGCGCAAGCTACATTAAAGAGATTATTACGTTTTGAATATGGATATTTTTCTTACAAAAACGCATCGATTTGCTACAGAAGGCCTCTGTTCACCCCCCAGAGCCGTGTGAGACACTTTTTTTATGGATGGGCGCTTTTTATTTAACTTCTTTTGGACTGATGCATGCAACACCCGCTGAGTGGCATTAAACAGCTTGAAAGATCAAAGACAATTTTTAATATAACTCCGACTGGATTCGTCTGAAAGAAGAAAGTCATATACACCTAGGATGACTTGAGGGTGAGTAATTTATGGGCTAATTTTCATTTTTGGGTGAACTAACCCTTTAAGACAGCTTTGTGTAAGAAACAGACCCAAATTTACGTTGTTATTTGCTAATAGTTTTCCCCCAGTGAGTTGTTAACCACTGTGACATTAAGACAGAGAGAACTTGAGAATCGAATCAGTCTGATTCATGAAAGAATCATTCAGCTTTGTTCCCCAAAAAGCATTTTAAACCTAAGACGATCATAGTGACCATTGGCGCCAATCATTGGTGGTTTTGAAGATCTACTGCTTTTGGGAAACCCAGCCAAGACCAGATTTGTGAACCAGATCAACCAATGCATGACTCAAAAGCCACTCTCAAATCAGATATTACTATTTCTCTAATGAACTCTTACGAATGTGCCAAGATTCAGGTGTCAGTTTAGCAAATAACAACTTTTGGTCTGTTTCTTACACAAAAGCTATCATATGATTTCAGATGACTTGGAATAAAGAGTATGAGTCATATGGAATATTTCTGTGATGCTTTTGCGTCCTTTTAGAAGTTCAAAAGTCTTCTTTTGTGTTCTACAGAAGAAAGAAAGCCATACAGGTTTGGAATGGCATGTGGGTGAGTAAATGATGACAGATATCTTGTCTTTGGCTGAATTATCATTTTACATTTCCTATATCTCAGTGTCTCAGTATCTTTTGATTTGGCTCAGACTATCCCTCATGCTGTCTTTGGCAATTTCTATTTCACTCTCTCAATACATATTTCGCCTTCACCTTCTTTTCCTTTACAACACTCGCCTTCCTTCCCCTTTTCCATTTTCTTCCTTCCCTTGCAATTTCACTATACTATTCTGGTGTCCCCTTTTATATTTTCCTATCTCCCTCTTTCCCTATCTCCCAGTTCCCTTTCCAATCTCTCTGCACACATTCACACATCCCATTCATCCCGTCTCTATAATTGATTTCGATTGGACAGCGTGATCTAAGGGTGACTGCAGATCACATAATTTTTATCCTCGTCTTCTTCAGTCACCGTAATCCCCCCCTCCCTGTGTGATTTCTGTGCTGCTCTTAGTTCAGTTACTTGAGCCGCAAACTGCCTCAGTCAGCACATAATCTCTAGAGATAGTGGAAAAAAAGGGGGGCGAGAGATAAAGGAAGAGAGACAGCGATTGTGACTAGAAGAGGTGGAGAACTAACAGAGAAATCCTGTGTTTCCCTGCAGATGTGACCACACAGATTGGCATCATTTATCCTGTTAAACAGGAACCAATATCAAAAGAAAGAAATTAAAAATTCCTGTTTTAGGACCATTGCGATTTTTTTTCATTGTGGAAATTTTTTCATGATAATTCTGCATATTTTTCTGAGAATAACAGTCAGTACGTTTACATGAGCAGTTCTAATCAAGCTACAGTGGGGTTTTGCATAGTCAAGCTAAAGTCTACAGAAATAACCACACGTGCATGTCACTAAGTGTTTACATGACATTTTAAAAAGATTAATTATTGTTTTAGTCCAAATTAAGCTGCAAGTTAACATACTTACAGTGTCTAAACCACATCACAATTTGCTTCCATTATATGAAATGCTACTTCAGTAGCCACTTTTTTCCTGTCTATCCGAAAATAAACTGATTTCATTTATAAATATAATGTATATGAATTATGAATAGCTAAAATTTATATTTTTTATGCATTTATTATTTTGCTATTTTAAAATAACCCATGCAACAGTTTAATAAAATTTAATATATAATTATTTACAATTACATTGGAAAATAAGGTAAGCTTTTGTTTAATATATATATATA